TCTTTCGATTTTTAAAATTTCTGATTTTTCGAATTTTGAAATTAATTTTTAAGTTTAAATATGTATTTCAGTTTTAAATTTTCCGGTTTTTCGATTTCTCCATTTCACGGATCTTTTGATGTCTCAATTTTTTAATTTCGATTTCTCGGCTTTTCCATTTTTCAATTCTTTATTTCTTCAAGTTTTTAGAGTTTTAAAATTCTCCATTTTTCGATTTTATGTTTCGTTATGCTTCGATCTCCCGATTTTAACCTTTTCAACGTGCATTGCAATTTTTCGATTTTAGAATTTTCGATTTCTTACATCTCGATTTTTCGTTTTTTCGATTTTAAAATGTTTTTACTTTTCGTTCTTTTTTTCAAGTTTTCGATTTCTCAATTTTCCAACATTTCAATTTTGGGAATGTCTATATATTTCAGTTTTTTGAAATTTTCATTTTTCAACTTTTTAAATTTTGATTTTTCGACTTACCGGAAATCGATTTTTGGGTTTTTCAATTTTTCGACTTTTCAGTTTTGAGATTTTTCAATTTGTCGATTTTTTAGTTTTTCATTTCTTCAGTTTTTCGGTTTTTCAAGTTTTCGAATTTTTAAATTTAAAATTTTTCAATTTTTCGATTTTATTCTTTTTACGTTCCGATTTCCCGATTTTAATTTTTTTTATGCTTTTCAATCTTTGGTTTTTCTAAATTTTCATTTTTCCATTTCTCAATTTCTCGATTTTTCGACGTTTTGATTTTGTGTTTTTTTTTAATGTTAAATTTTTCGTTATTGTAATTTTTCAATTTTTTAAATTTTAGATATTTACATTTTTCAACATCTTGAATTCTCGATCTTTTTTCAGTTTGAATTCCTCGGTTTGTCGATTTTCCAAAATTTCGATTTTTCAATCTTTCGACTTTGCAGTTTTGAAAATTTTTGATTTCTCGAATTTTCAGTTTTTGATTTTCCAACTTTTAGATGTTTAAAATTTTAGAGTTTGCAAATTTCACGAGTTTTCAGTTTTTAATTTCGTCAATTTTTCGATTTGCAATTTTTCGTGTGGGTTTTTAATTTTCTTTATTTTTTCAATTTTCGGCTTTCAATTTTCCGTTTTTTTAATTTTTCATTTGCAGTATTTCTAGTTTTCATTTTAATTATGTAACACTCCTAATAATTATAATTTTTAAAGTTGTTCACTTTTTCAGTTTTTCGTTTTTGGAATTTTTCAATTTTTCGGTGTTTGAATGTCACAGTTTTTGGACTTTACAATTTTCAAGATTCTATAATTTTTCGATTTTACAATTTTTGGATTTTCCAATTTTTCAATTCGAATGATTTTTCTTCTTTCCCATTCTTCGATTCATTCATTTTTTTTAGATTTTTAAGTTTCTCGGTTTTTAGTTTTTCATTGTTTCAATTTTTCATTTTTTCGAGTTTTTAACTTTTCGAATAAACAAAATCGAAAAATTGTAAAACTGAAAAAGTAGAAAATGAAAGCTTCGAAATATAAAAAAATTGGAAATCAAAAACTTAAAAAATCAAAGACTGAAAAAGTAAAAAATTGAATAAACAAAAAATTATAAAACCCAAAGAAACATTGAAAAAATAAAGGATATGGAAAAATGAAAAATTGTGATATAAAATCAAGAAAATGAAAATTACAAAATCGGGAAAATGAAAATATCGAAAATCTGAAAAATATAAAAATTGAAAAATTCCCAAAATTGAGATAGCGAAAACTTAAAAATCGAGAAATCGAAAAATTTTTAAAATTGGAAAATTGAGATATGAGAAATCGAAAATTCCAAAAATGGAAAAATTGAAACATATTAAAAAATTAAAATCGGGAAATCGAAACATAAAGATAATAACAGGGAAAAATGAAAAATTTTAAAAATCGAAAATTTAAAATATATACTAGAAAAATCGAAAATTTTGAAAATCAAAAAACCAAGAAATCGAAATCGAAAACTTGAGACTTCAAAAGATCGAGAAATCGAAATAGGGCGAAATCGGAAAATTCAAAGTTAAAATATTTACTTAAAAAAAAAGATAAACGGAAAAATCGAAAAATTCAAAAAAATCGATAGACCTAGATATGAGAAACAGAAAATTCCAAAAATCGAAAAATTGAAATACAGATTAAAAAATTTAAAAAATCGAAGTTAAAAAATCGTGAAAACAAATTCCATTTGATTTTCCGTTTTATCGATTTTGCAATTTTTTGTTTCTTCAAGTTTTTCCAATTTTTTAATTCTCCGATTGTTCAATGTTTCGAATTTTCTACTTTCCGAATAAATAAAATGGAAAAGTTATAAAATAGAAAAATTGTAAAACTCAAAATGAAAAAACGGAAAAGTATAAAATGAAAGCTTCGAGAAATCTTAAGAAATTTAAGAAACGGAAAATTCAAAAATCGAAAGATTAAACATTGAGAAATTTAAAGATCGAAAAATTGCGGTCGAAAACACGAAAATTATTGTAAAATCTAAATATTGAAAATTGGAAAATCAAGGAATTGAAAATGTGAAAAATTGAATAAACGAAAAATTGTGATATATAATCCAGAAAATGAAAATTAAAAAATCGGGAAAATGGTATAAAAAAAATGAAGAACTTGAAAGAACATCATTACGCCGAATATGTTCATTGCGCCACACATAACCTCAATTTAGTCCTTAATGATTCTGTTAAGAATGTACCAGGAATTTCCGCATTTTATGATTTAATAAATGCTATATACGTCTATTTCAGTGAGAGTTTACCGAGATGGCAACAACAACAACAACATTCAGATGAAAGAAAATGATAAGTGTGTTATAAAAAAAACTTTAAAATAGTTATGCCCCACCAGATGGTCATCGAGATTTGATTCTCTAATTACCATTAGATATAATCTCTCAACAGTAATGAGCTGAAATTATTTTAACATCAAAAAAGAAAAGTGAAATAGATGAAGCTGTAGCTCTTCGTAAAAAAATGGATTCATTTGAATTTGTTGCTCTATTAGTATTTCAATGCAAAATTTTAGAAAATGTTAATTTGGTCTCAAAAACTTTACAGAGTTCAAATATTACTTTAGATGAGGCTCGTAAATGGATGGAACATCTAAAAGACAAATTTCAAAGTATACGTGACAATTTTGAACAAATAATGGAGGAATCAAGGAAATCTGCTGATACCTGGAAAATTAACAATTCTTTTTCAAATAAACGTATAAAAAAAGTGAAACTGTTTAATGTCGAATTATGTGAAGATACCGTTTTCAAAGATTCCAGTGAAAAATTTAAAACAACCGTTTTCTATCCTGCTCTTGATATTTTAAACATTCAAATTAAAGATAGGTTTGAAAGCATGAAAAACGTCAGAAACTATTTTTCTTTTCTGGAACCACAGAAAATGTTGAATAATACAGATGAAGAATTTGTGGAGGCAAAGTTGGCAAATAAATACGAAGAAGATATTTCTAGTGCAATCTGTGGGCAAATCGTTAGTTTTAAAAACATTGTTCTTGGTGAAATTATTCAGATATTACAGATATTGTTAAGTTTCGGTTTATGGACAATAATTCTTTAACGGCAGAAAGATCTTTATACGTTCATTCCCAATATTTTTGTTCGTTACTTCAGTGTATTAATCGTATGTTTTGTGGTGGTCAAAGCATTTAACGCGATGAACTTATTCTTCAAGAAGTATTTTTACATCTGTGGACGCAGTAGGTACGCAGTTTTTCTAAATACAAATACATACTTTAGAATCACTTTTTGTCAGAATATTACGAAAAATATTTAAAAATAAATTGTTACCAAAATAGTAGTTATATAGTCGATTACTTGTATCTTTTGATTTGTTCTGTTTATATTTATTTTTTTAGAAGAATATTATCTTTAAAAATGTGATTTATGTATTTTTTGTAATAAAACGTAAGCTCGGTAAACCTGTTTTTGTAATTTTGTAAATCAATTTAGTTCGCTTATTAAGCTTTTTTTTAATTTTTGAGCATATGCAACTGCATATCTCTGCATATATTAAGAAAGGTACTGCATATTTCCATAAATTTGGTGCATATCATATGATCATATTTCCCAAAATTTTGCTGCATATTTTCCGCTCTCTACTGATAATTATTCCTTTTTTACTTACTACGAACAAAAAAAATCTGTGCGTCAACGCACCTCTGGGAGCACTTCACCCCATACATAAAATTTCGGCGTCCTAAGCCTCCCGGGCCCCATTCGCGCCGCCACGTCACCTGCCACAAGAAAAATTTATCACGCGCATTTAGCACCCAAACGTTATAATCCTCCTTGAAGCCCCGAGACATCGGCCCGTGATAAATTCGACGCACCGGTCTTTGACACAAAATTGCAAAAAGTCGCAGCAAAAATTCCGCCTTAAATCGCGCATCCATCATGTCAATAACTCCCTCGAAAATCACTGTTCCTCGCTATCGAGCGTCCGACTTTTCCCGGCTTTTTACACCGAACCGATCGCTTTGTCCGGCCGTCCTGCAGTCCTGCATCCTTGTTAAACTTGCACAAACCTCATCACAAAAACAAGATTTATCGCCTTACGTACAGCGCGAAATCGCGTTGCGAACATCACCGAAAGTCGTTATGTAAATGTTATATATCCTGTTTTGGTTGCAGGGCTGTGTTGCCATTATAAGCATGACGCGGGTAATGGCGGCGGCGTTCGGGGGCAAATTGCGAAATCGTCGCGCGGGGCTTAATTCGATTAGTGACGTCACGCGACAAAAACGAGCCCGAATTTGACACAGTCTAATCATAATATAAAAAGGGCAGCCACTCGGGCTTTTATTACAAACGCGAAATTATAACCCGTAGCAAAAAATATAATTTTTTACGACGTCGTCAAGACATTTCGCACGTAACGACTCCCTGATTGGTTTAAAATGAAAGCATAAAACTTGATGATCTTAGGCACGCAAAATTTGGATTAAAATACCGGTGGTTTATGAGTCCGCCTTGATTGTTGATTTGTTATTTATGCATGCAGGGGTGCGTCGCCATCATTAGTATGACCTGGATCATGTCCGTGACGGTGTTCTCCATCCTGGTGCTCCCGCGCGGCGGCTTCTACTTCAACCCCACGGGGATGATGGCCTGCGAGCCCTTCTACACCCGAGCGTCCATCAGGATTCTGGCGGCTTGTGGCTTCTACTTCCCCACGACCATGATCCTGATGTACTGCTACGGGTCTGCTTTCCACGTCAACAAGCTGCGTTTGAGGAAGTCCGGTTGCAGCACCATCGCCAGTCCGGACGACTACGGAGGGGCCAGCATCGAGAAGGTAAAGCTATGTAGATGCTAGAGGGGAGCAAACAAGGCGAAGCTGCTGAAAAATGAGAATTATTATGAGGACGGGAAAGCGTTTCAGAGGCGTAATATCTAGCCCGGAAGTTGTGCTTTGACAGATATTTTATTCATGTGCTGCGAGATTTTGCTCGGGGGCACGTTCACTATTAGTATTTTTAGAGTTTTTATTGGTGGTGGCGTGAGATATGACCTTGTCAGGGTGGTTATGGCGAGGGTTTATTTGACTGACAACAGTTGGTGGAATATTTTTACTCGAGCAAAGAGTTAGTTATTGACTTTTTCGAACCAACTGACTCATAAGTAATTGGCGCAGTCGGTAGGATAGTCGAAAACAATTTCGGGACAGTAAATCCCGCTATAACTTGTTTGTATTCAGGCCCTTTTGGTGTTAGTCAACATGAAGTAACATGTTTTACCTTCACAAAGCCAGACTCAAAAAATTGCGGCTACTTTCCCTTGCGTTACAACATTATTAGAACTTAGTTTTGCAAGTTTCACGAAACTTCATTGTTAATTAACAGAATGTGGAGTTAAATAATAACTGGCCACTATCTACAACACCACGAAAGCTTGATCAAAGGGCTGTAATACTCAACGAGCAACAATTAAGGCCACTTTATAACATCTGGAACAAAAATAAAACCCCGCAAATTACTCCTTTTTGATTTTAATTTACCAATCCACCCGAAACATTACGCATTACAAGTCACCCCTCGATTTCACTTTGAAATAATAAACAATATTAAATCGCCATTCCGACCGAAATAATCTCGCAGCGAATTCGCAGATTAAATGACTGCTTTGTTTAGTTGTTTTCCCTTTAATCTAAAATTTTGATGGATCTATTAATAAATCCCGGATTCGTACGTATGCTAATAAAAGGATGGTGTTGTCGGTTGGCACCACTGCATAAAATACCCGCATGTGTAAATAATATCTCATTTAGTATTACGTCTGATGCAATTTATGGCAGCTGAAATTACCCAGTTTCGATTTGGTGGCCATGACAGACCGAATAAATGCGACTTTTCATTGTTGGTGGGTTTTCAATTCAAAAAATTAGAGACTGATCACCCGACTCCGCGTCATTTTTTTTGTTGAAGGCGAACACGCCTGATTTTCCGTCGGCGAAATTTAAAATATCCACAAACGGATTATTTTTTGTTTCAGCAATACATTTTATGCATTAAGTAAATCCTTTGATCTTTTCGCTTCCCTATTTACGAGTTGAAAGCAAAAAACAATAAGCCGTTGTCTGAATAATAATCGGCGCATCCAAAGCGACTCTCCATCGTCCTTTCCTTTGATCTCGCTTTTTCCCACACCAACTAATTAACTATTTACGCAATTCCCGTTTTTCTTGGGCCGAACAGTTTCGATATTGGGGAGGTTTTGCTCCCCTAAAAACATAACGATCTTCGAGGGTCCCTAATGGCAGTGCCTCATCCCGTCGAACAAAACGCTACATCATCATCATTCTGTCAATAATTACGTCAACTTGCGATGAGGGACCGAATCAACTATTTGGCCAGAAATCGACCGAATTCCTCAAGATGTTGCGAATATCCAGGCAGGGGCGGCTCGTCGGAACATTGTCGCTTGATCACTCATGTAATTGGTGAAAGAAGTAGGTCCAACGGGACCCCTGCGACACTCCTAAAATAAAATGTGTTACAAATAATAATAATAACCGATATCCACTAAACAAGACGGGCTTAAACGACTTAATTTTTGTCGTTGGGGTCCTGGAAGCGTTCCAACGTCCTTGCCAATGTGCTTAAGAACATTTGGCGCCTCCGGGCTATTTAATGCTGTTGCAGTTGGGCTGCAGACGTCGATTAAAAGTTCTTGAAACAATCCAGCGATCGTTTATCAAATAAGATTCCACAGTTCAATTTAGCATGGAGATAAAAACTCTTTCTCCAGTCAATCGAGAAGTGGCGGGCTAAACGTTTTCAGACCGTTTTTGTTAGGCCTGACAGATTATTCCGATATCCTTCAAAGCTGGAGCGCTTTGTTCATGATCGAAGCTCGTTCAGAGATATATTTCCCTAATTTATATTTTATCATTCATGAGGAGGGATAATTGTTTCGGAAGGATAACCCTCCTGGTGAGATATGAGATGTGACAAACCGGATCGGTTCATTTTTGGCGTTTTTGTGTGTCGGGTGGCGTGAGGGAGTATTGCAGTATTGAATTCGTGTTGTTTGACAGTTCTTGTCTGAGTTTTGCACAGTTCGGGTTCTATTGTTAACAAGTGTTTCGAAGAATTCTCATTCTCCGTCTAATCCGCTTTAAAAACATTATTCTCGATTACAAGCAGCTGAGGCGCTACGTTTCATTGATTTGATTTTATTGTTGTTTCGTTCGATAGCGGAGTTTTCTCTGTCTGGAGGCACAATAAAATGCTTGAAAACATAGCGGATGTAAAAATCAAATAAATGAAAAGTCAGATTGTGATGGTTTTAGTTTGTCGATAATTCGAATGGATTTTTAGAATTTTATTAAAAGCTATAGCTGCTAGTGAAATCGATTTAGTGTTTATGGTTCAGTTGTAGTTTTATTTATATCTAAGGGTGGATACACAATATATCAAAAAAAATACGAATAGTGGAATTAATCCGAAACAGACAAATTTAGCGAAGCGTTTTACTTTGAATTTTCAGTTCAGATGTGAACGTTCGAATTATGTAGGAAAACAATTTCAATTTCATTTTATTAACGCCAGAGAACCCGTAAAAGTTAAGTAATAGTGGAATAGTCACCAAAGAACACTGAACGACCCCCCCCCCCCCAAATAATGATGCCCAAAAACAGCATTTTAGTAAATTTTAGACGTCTATATTTGCCAGTGTTTAGTTCGAGCGAAATAACTTTAGATCTTTCGTCATCGATTGAACGCCTGCACTCACAGAAAACTGGGAATTTTTTAAAATATTTTTACATCGTGTATGAGCAAAGAAAATAAGATTGAACCGCTTGTAAACCATGAGATGCACCACAGAAAGAAAATTTTATCAGGAGATCGTTTTTTGATGACAATTTTATGTTTACTCGATATTCCGTATTCCGAGATTATGAAAAAAAAATTGGTCTACCATTAATAAATTTAAGGGCATTTTTTAAAAATGTGAGGAAGAATTTTGGGGTTCCTGGTGTTTTATTTTTCAATGAGTTTAAAGGAATCTTATAAGAGATTGTTTAGTGCTTTATTTAAAAAAATAGGAAAGAATCCTAGAAGTCTTTGGTGATTTTTTCTAATTTGAAATTATTCTTGCTCTTGGTAAAAAGTTTTGTGATCCTTGGCCACTTTTTTGAGAAAGTTTGAAATAATCTTGGACGTTTCTCTGATTTTTTTAACATGTAAATATATATAGGGCTGTTATTTCTTTATTTTAAAGAATGTTAAATAATCTTGGAGATCCATAGTGTTTTATTTTTTTTTTAATTGACATTATTCTTGTCCTTGACAGTTTGTTTCTGAATGAGTTTCAAAGAATCCTGAGAGCTTTTGTCACTTCAAGGACCTCAGTGATTTATTTTGGAAAGCGTTTCAAAGATTTTTGGGTATCTTTAGTAGTTATTTTTTAAATTATGCAAATGTCCCTGAGGTTGTTTGTTCTTCATTTTCAAAAAACTTTGGAAAGATTTTGGAGTCTCCTAGTGTTATATTTTTGAAAAGGTTTAAAAAAATATTAGTTTTATTTTAATGAATGTGAAAAAATCTTGAAGGTTTCTAGTGTTTCATTTTTTTTTTTATTGAAATTATCCTTGTCCTTGGCAGTTTGTTTCTGAATGATTCGGAAAGAGTTGTGAGAGCTTTTGTCACTTTTCTGAAAACGTTTGAAAGAATTTCGTAGTTTCCCAGTGTCTTTCATTTTATTTTTGAAATAGTTTAAAAGAATTTTACGGATCCTTGGTGCTTTATTTTAAAGAATGTGAAAAAATCTTGAGAGTTTCTAACGTTTCATTTTTTTTTTAATTTTATATTACTTATTCTTGTCCTTGACAGTTTGTTTCGGAATGAGTTTCAAAGAATCTTGAGAGCTTTTGTCACTTTTCTGAAAATATTTGAAAGAATTTTGTCTTCAAGGCCCTTAGTGATTTATTTTGAAAAGCGTTTCAAAGATTTTTGTGTATCTTTAGTAGTTATTTTTTAAATGATGCAAATGTCCCTGAGGTTTTTGTTCTTCATTTTCAAAAAACTTTGGAAAGATCTTGGAGTCTCCTAGTATTATATTTTTGAAAAGGTTTAAATAAATATTAGGGGTTTTTGCTGTTTTATTTTAACGAATGTAAAAAAATCTTGAACGTTTGATGTCTCATTTTCTTTAATTTGAAATTATTTTGTCTTTGGCAGTTTGCTTCAGAATGGAGTTCAAAAAAGTCGTTATAGCTTTTGCCATTTCTCTAAAAATGTTTGAAAGAATTTTTGAGTCTTTATTTTAAAAATCTTGAAAGGCTCTTAGTGTTTTATTTTTGAAAAGAGCTTCAAAGGCTTTTGGACACTTTTAGGATCTTTTTTATGAGTTGTCCACATGTCCTTGGAGCTTTTTTACTCTTCGTTTTCAAAAAGCTTTGAAAAGATCTTGAAATCTCCTAGTATTTTATTTTTGAAAAATTTTTAAGGAATCTTAGCGGCTTTTGGGGTTTTATTTTAATGAATGTGAAAAAATCTTGAAGGTTTCTAATGTTTCATTTTTTTTTTATTCTATATTACTTATTCTTGTCCTTGACAGTTGGTTTCTGAATGAGTTTCAAAAAATCCTGAGAGCTTTTGTACTTTTCTGAAAATATTTGAAAGAATTTTGTAGTTTGTGTTTTCAAGGACCACAATGATTTGGAAAGCGTTTCAAAGATTTTTGGGTATCTTTAGTAGTTACTTTTTAAATTATGCAAATGTCCCTGAGCTTTTTTACTCTTCATTTTCAAAAAGCTTTGAAAAGATCCTGGAATCTTCTAGTACTTTAATT